GAACAGCAGACATAATACTGATCCTGAGGAAACTGAGATACACAGTCAGTTACTCAGATACTTCCTCAGCCCCATCCTTCTGTAGAACACCCAAGGGCCCTTTCCTCATATTCTATAGCTAGCTGGCTTGGCTCCTGGCACATCACAGATGCTCATGAACTGTTTGCCCCATTTCCTTTTGGTGAGATTTTCTGCATTTTTTATGTAATCAATGCTATTGATCTGTTCTTCCACAATTTCACAGCCCTATCATAGAGAATTGAACTGTCTTTGTGCCAAACAGCTGCACCCTCCTATAGCTGATTTTGCATCTGGTGTATCCCCCACTTGGCCTCTACTGACAACAGTTTTTCAAAGAAGGTAAACATTTAAGTATGAACCTCATTCTTTTTCAACCCAAAGCATAAGTAGTCAAAAGACATGTGACTCAAGTTTTGTAGTTATTCAAGGCCAGAGTAGTAGTCAAAGCCTTGTTTTCTCAACTCATTTGCAAATGGACCATATTAAGCACAGATAACATAGAAGAGAGGAAACCTAAGAAGCTTATGCTCACCTATACATTTTGCAAATCTTAGAAGCAAAGAAAACATTCTATGGAGACTAAAACTCTGATTGCTCAAAGTGAAGCAGTCCAGAGCTGTCCTGCACATTTCCAAACACGGCATGTAACAATTTGCTAGACTTTTAAAACAGCCAACTGTGTTTTTCCTTTAAAGTAAAGTGCATCTTGGCTGTAATATATTTTCTTTCAACACCAATGCCATTTTATGCCTTGTGTGCTTAAAAGTATTTGTTTATTCATTTTCCAACTGTAACTGAGTTGGTGGGAGGTTAGGAGAGTGCAGGAGTCACTCCCTCTGTACCCAAGGACACATCTGCTCCTCTGCCCCTTCTGGAATGTTCTCTTGCTATTAATTAAAGAACTATAAATATGAGTCATACCCGTGGGCTTATGGGTGGCATAACTAGATATTCTGAGAACATTTCTGATGGAGGAAATGAATATTTATTCAGTCATGGCAAGATCAAAAGGCCAGAGGGTGGAACAAATGCTACAAATGTCTCAGGCAAGGACAGAGCCTTGATGTAACAAGTACTGGCTTACTCCCCACTCTCCCGGAATAATCTCAGCAACAAGTAGAGAAGATGACATAAATTATGAATGAGACAGTCAGGAAAAGTTGCATTCATATGTTGGCAAGACCTGCGTAAAGAACAAACAATCCTTATAAACACAAAGAAAAGGAAACACAAAGCAAAACCAACAGCACTTTTGCAATTGCTAATGAAAAATGGTGAAGGAAGACCTCTGTTTCTGAGAATTCTCTAGAAAATCCGGACAAGCCCTACTCTCCAAAGCGTTGAAAACTTTTTCATCCTTAAAGTCATATGAGATCCAAAGCACAGACATACTAAGTTATCTTTTTAAGAAAGGCTTCCCTTAACAAAGGAAGTCAAGGTCTGTCTTTGCTGGCCAAGTGGTTTAATTGATTTCCGAACTGAAGAAATGCCTTCCCCAGCTGGGCCTTGGGTGTGTCTCCAGTGGGTCACCTGCCCGGACCAGTGAACCCCACACCACCCATAGCCCTTCCCTGGGGGGCAAACACAGAGGACCATGCTTGGAACGCGCGGAGCTTTTCAGCAACTTGAAAGGCAGGACTCTGGGACCTTAGAAAAAGGCATCTCTGTTTAATAATCAAACACACAGGATGAAGTTCCTTTTTTTATTCTTTCACTGTCTCTATTAACTCTCAAATTCATTTGGAATACTGTTTTTAGCTGTTTTCAAATCTCAAACCACTTCACATCAGCTTGTCCCTCTGGGTTTTCTTCAGCCTTTGAAAAGTTATTTGTAGTGCCAAAAGATATAAAGTGATTATTTAATATGTTATATAGATGCTTTATGATTTTAATCATTTTCCTAAGTCTCTAATGATGCAGCAACACTGTTAACATACTCCTAACAGGTGGAGCTACTGTCTTTGCGGTAACTTTTACCAAGATTTTGCTACAGTCTAAGGGTTGTGACTCCCCAGCTGCTGGCCCACTTTAATCAGACCACGTGGGGGCCCTGGCATATGTGGCTGGAGGTGTGTGGAGGAGCCTGAAGGACAAACAACCAGGAACTTCTGTTTCCCTCCACCGCTCCAGCTCTGACCCACAGAGGCCCTGCCTGTGATGAATACTCCAAGAGGATTTCCAGTTTCCAAACAAATAAATTGGTTGTTAAATGGACCAAACCACGAGGGTGGCCTTGAAAATTAAGCCCCTTGCCTTGCTCCTGGGTGAGGATGGACCGCGACCGCACCAGCCAGCTGGTGAAGCAACAGGCACAGGATGGCTCTTCAGCTTCAGCATAGACCCAGTGAGAAAGTGGACGCACCAGTGTTTCCCCAACAGACCATTACTTTTGACAGCTGTCATTGGACTTTTTGCTGTTTGGCTGAAGGTAGATGATTGCAGAATGACCTCAATCCCAGTATCTAAAAGAATACATGGTCTAGACTGCTAGTTATGTCATATGCCTGGGCTTATGGGTCATATTTTTTATCAATTATTCAAATAGAGTAATTTTTAAACCACTCTCAATATAAAAGCATACCACCTAAAGTGCAATGCATCCATCAGGAGTCATGGAGATAAAAATAACAACCTCCATTGAAAATCCATCAACATCACCCACCACATCAACAAAAAGAAGGACAAAAACTACATGATCATCTCCATAGATACTGAAAAAGCATTTGACAGAATTCAACATCCATTCATGATAAAAACTCTCAACAAAATGGGCATAGAGGGCAAGTACCTCAACATAATAAAGGTCATATATGACAAACCCACAGCCAACATCATATTTAACAGCGAGAAGCTGAAAGCTTTTCCTTTAAGATGAGGAACAAGACAAGGATGCCCACTTTCCCCACTTTTATTCTAAATAGTTCTGGAGGTCCTTGCCATGGCAATCAGACAACACGAAGAAATAAAAAGCATCCAGATTGGCAAGGATGAAGTTAAACTGCCCCTGTCTGCAGATGATATGATATTGTAATAAAAAACCCTAAAGAATCTACTCCCAAACTACTAGATCTAATATCTGAATTCAGCAAAGTTGCAGGATACAAAATTAATTCACAGAACTCTGTTGCATTCCTAAACACTAACGATAAACTAGCAGAAAGAGAAATCAGGAAAACAATTCCATTCACAATTACATCAAAAAATAAAATAAAATACCTAGGAGTAAACCTAACGAAGGAAGTAAAAGACTTATACTCTGAAAACTACAAGACACTCATGAGAGAAATTAAAGAAGTTACCAATAAATGAAAACACATCCCATACTCATGGATAGGAAGAATTAATATTGTCAAAATGGCCGTCCTGTCTAAAGCAATCTACAGATTCAGTGTAATCTCTATCAAAATACCAACAGCATTCATCAATGAACTACAGAAAATAGTTCTAAAATTCATTTGGAACCACAAAAAACCGAATAGCCAAAGAAATCCTGAGAAGGAAGAATTAACCTGGGAGGGTTTATGCTCCCTGACTTCAAGCTCTACTACAAAGCCACAGTAATCAAGACAATTTGGTACTAGCACAAGAACAGACCCATAGACCAGTGGAACAGAATAGAGGCCAGATATTAACCCAAACATATATGATCAATTAATATATGATAAAGGAGCCATGGACATACAATGGGGAAATGACAGCCTCTTCAGCAGCTGGCGTTGGCAAAACTGGACAGCTACATGTAAGAGAATGAAACCGGATTATTGTCTAACCCCATACACAAAAGTAAACTCGAAATGGATCACAGACCTGAATATAAGTCATAAAACCATAAAACTCTTAGAAGAAAACATAGGCAAAATTGTCTTGAATATAAACATGAACAACTTTTTCCTGAATGCATCTCCTTGGGCAAAGGAAACAAAATAAAAAATGAACAAATGGGACTACATCAAGCTAAAAAGCTTCTGTACAACAAAGGACACCATTAACAGAACAAAAGGCATCCTACAGTATGTGAGAATATATTTGTAAATGACATATCTGACAAGGGGTAAACATCCAAAATATATAAAAAAAACTCACACGCCTCAACACACAAAAGGCAAATAACCCTATTAAAAAATGGGCAGAGGATATGAACAGACACTTCTCCAAAGAAGAACTTCAGTTAGCCAACAGTCACATGAAAAGATGCTCCACATTGCTAATTATTGTTGGCAGCCGTGCTCAGAAAATAGCGCCCCATGCAGGGCAGCCGGAAGGCCCCGAANGAAGATGTGGTACATATACATAATGAAATATTATTCAGCCATAAGAAGAAAACAAATCCTACCATTTGCAGCAACATGGATGTAGCTAGACGGTATTATGCTTAGTGAAATAAGTCAAGCAGAGAAAGACAAGTGCAAAATCATTTGTGGAGTATAACAACAAAGCAAAACTGAAGGAATAAACAGCATCAGACTCACAGACCCCAAGAAGTGACTAGTGGTTACCAAAGGGGAGGGAGGGAGAAGGGGATTGAGGCGTATTATGATTAGTGCATATGGTGTGTGTGGGGTCACGGGGAAGACAGTGTAGCACAGAGAAGACAAGTAGGGACTCTGTGGCATCTTACTACACTGATGGACAATGACTACAATGTGGCATGGGGAGGACTCGATAATAAGGGTGACTGTAGTAACCACATTGTTTTTCTTGTGAAACCTTCATAAGAGTGTTTATCAATCATACCTTAATTAAAAAATAATAATAACAACCTCCATCTCTTGAAACATTGAGAGGATCACAGGAAAAATATGAGTATCTGTATAAAGCACCCAGACCCAGCTCCGGGCGCGTAATAGGTTCTCAACAAAAAATAAATAGTAGCTACTGTTCCCTGTTTTTAGGGAGTCTATAGACCCAGAATAGACCCTTCTTTAGGTAGAGAAGAAGGATACCAGGTATTCTGGAACCCTCTCCCTGGGCATACTTACTGTGTCTCAGCCCCTAGCAGCATTTCCACTTTCTCATTCGCATGGTTGCTGAGGACTGTCAGAGTAAAGAGGTGACTGGCAGAGCTCTGTCTTGAATAAAGCATTGTGGAACTGTTCTTCCCTGGAGAAGAATTAAGCTCTTCATTATCACAAGATTCCACCAATAGCTGATCTCTTAAAGAATAATCATTGACGTTGTAACTTTCTTCACTGTAAGGAAGAGTGAAAAGAAACATGTCAGTAATTCAGTGGATAAGACTGTGGTATTGTCAGTTTACTATACAAGCAAAATACTGCCTTCTGATCAAGTCTATTTGTTGTTAGGGTAATAATCTGTATTAATTGGAAGTTCAAAAGGCAGATAGATCATTTCCAAACCTCTCCTGAAACCAGCACAGCCATATTCAAAATACATAAAATATTTCTCCTATCAAAATGAGGTTTACCAAAGCTCACACAATTTTTATAAAACAGGAAACTGAATAATAACTTCACAAATAAGGTTATATTTTTAAAAGGTCCTTGTTTACCAGAAACAAAGCAATTTTGAGCACAGCAGGAAAAACTTATAATGTTGTCTAGACATCTCAGACATGGACTTAAAATAGCCAAGGACTGAGGATAAAACCAAAAATGAGAAAATTAAAAATGAAAGAGAAACCTCAAGAGCAACAACATCAAAAATGAGAAAAAAACAAAACAAGATGAACAAGGGCTTCCCTGTTACCCTCCTCTCTCTGCACCTCCTCTTTACTCTTTTGGTCCAACTCCCAAGTTAAAGATGCCCTGTGAGTCCAAGGTCCCTATTTCCAGTTTAAAATGATTCTGCTTCAGACAAAGAAACCTGAGGCACCCTAAGGCTCTGCACACACGTGTTCAGGTGATGCCCTGACCAATGACACTGTGTAGGTGTAGTCTGTATTCACAAAGAAATAAAAGGCAAAGAAATACGTATGCTATAAAGCCATCATTGAAGATGACTCAAGTCCCTAAAGGCCTGCAGAGTCACAGGTGACACAGGTGGTTTCACCTCTTAGGCAGTCCCCAAGAGCTCACAGGAAATTACTGTAAACTAGGATGGACAAACTAGTTAAGTCTTTTTTTTTTCCTTCTTCATTTTCAGAGTTCAGATTTTCTCCAGCGTCGACCCGAATACAAGCAACATTGGCTAGTGTGTTTTACTGATGCTCTGATTTTTGGTCTTTTGAGGTTAATTAGAGACAGACAGAGTAGATAAATTTGTAGAACATTTTTAAATTGTTCTCTTAGGTGATGAGAACTACACCACATTAAAATCCAGGGTGACTATTTGACCCAATGGTCCTCCATTATGCCCGTGGTCCTCCAACGTCCAACTTGGACTATTAGCTATGGCCACCTTATCCATAGCTACTGAGTTCACACCAAGATATCTGCTTCTATACATCTGCACATCTGTGTCATTGACTAGGCCTGAATTGGGGAACTTCTCCCAGTGTTTTGACTTCTGAATCTAAAGCAGGACACAGGAAACACATTTGCCGCCTCCTTTTTTTAACTGATGCAATAGTAACCCATCCAATATTGTTATTTACTGGACCTGTATACTTCCTCATTACAAAATAAATGTTCACAACTTCTTCACTACTCTTTTAATGAATTTAATATTTAAAAAGCTTAGATTCTATTTAACAGTAGTGAAATAAATGGATTATTTATCCTTGACAGTTATTATTCAAACCCAATGGAACAAAAACAGAAAAGTAGCTCACTCTTGCCAGTGTGTTCCTGCTCTCTCTCTCCCCCACATGCACACTCATGTGCTTACTCAATCTCATAAAGTAAAGGTTCAAAAAAATTGTATTTTCTCTTCACTGATTCCGCTAAGTACTGAATGAAATTCATGCTCCTAATGTCAACCGTACCTAATATCTCTCTGATGCTAATGAATTTAACAGAAAGTAGCTCTGTGTTAAAATATGTGCTTTGGCAAAAGAAGAGGGGAGAATCTTTAGCCAGATGCAGCTATTTGCAACCCTATTTCCCTCCTCTCCTTACTCACCCACGTCCAATAAGCACAAAGTAGGCTAAGCTGTGTTGGAGAAGAAACCCCTTTCCTGAGGGAAGTTGATGCTAATCAGACTTTCCTATGTTTGTCTCCATCATTTAGCAAACATATGGTTTACATAGTCTCTGAAACAATTTGGATCATGTAATTAGGAAGTTAAATTGCTCAGAAAAAGGCAAATGGAAAAACCACCTTTCCTCACATGGAGAAGTTTATATGTAGACTTCCTTTGATTGTCTTATATGCGCTCCAAGTTTACCAGCTGCTCATCAAGGCTGCTTTGTGCAAGCAGCCTCTGCTATCAGGTGCAGCAGTCAAATCTATAGAAGTCTGTGGCTCTGTGGTGTAAACAATAATGGGTCTCCCTGTTGAAACCCACTCAAGTCCTAGTAACCTTTGTTGAGATTCCTTTCATTTCTTTTTTTAACAAGATAAAGAACTGTCAGTACACAACAGGATATGGTGGTAAATACATACCCCAATTCTTCCCTCAGGGAAGGCATTCTTTTAGTAAGCAGCTCAGATAGTGTTTGGTTCCACTGTATGCAACCTAACAGCATGGGTTGAAAAATGATATACCTTATTGTGAGTAGTGCCTTTCTTTAAAGAGATTAGTGTGGAGCCCTTTTAACTTTCTAGCCCACAAATTTCTATGAAGGTAGGAATTTTTCCTAATGGGCACACATTTATTACTTTTAAATCAGGACAACATTTTACAATTGCATACAACATACATGCATTTAAAAAACACCAAAAGTACATATACACATATGCAGTAGTGAGTAAAGGATGACAGACACTAACTTCAGCACAGGACTTATTCTGGGAAGAAGGAGGAGGAAGATGGATTGTGGTGGTAAGACCTTACATCTATCTGCAGTATTATGTTAGGTTTTTGGTTTAAAAAGGAGCTGGCAGTAATATGGCAAAAAGTTACTCTTTTAAATCCGGATGATAGATATGTTAGTGTTTGATAATTTTCTGTGTGTTTGAAATATTTCACAACTTAAGGTAAAAAAATTTTTTTAAAATAAATGCATAGCTATAAACACTATCATCATTCCAGGGGTCTGGGGATGACTACAGGTGCATCTGAAGTGACCACTGGGCAACAGAACTGTTCCTGCCCTACAAACAACTGATTATGTGCAGATGACATCATTGACTGAAAATATATTACAAGACAGGAGTGAATTCAGTGAAGTGGTTGGGTGAAATAAAAATAAGGCTTTCCTACATATGAATGATATTCAGAAAACACAGTGGAGGAAGCCATCTTATTTATAATAGCCACAAAACCCATATAATATTTAGGATTAAACTTAACAAGTTCCTGCTCTATGGAGACAGCCTTCAAATTCTTCAGAAGGCCTGAATGGATAGGTAAATTTGATATTATAGAGGTATCAGTTCTTCCTAAATTAATATATAACTTGAAGTAACACAATCCCAACAAAAGTATAAACAGGACTTTTGGGAAGGGGACAAAGAGGAAGAACAGTCAAGCTGATTCTACAACATACAAAAAAATAAACATGTAAGAACAGTCAGAAAAACTGCAAAAGAATGAGTGTGAACTAGCTCATGACATTAAAAACATAAAGCTACAATCATTCAATACAGTTCTGAGATGGGGGCATGAGCTGACAGATGGATTAGTAAACAGAACAGTGGGTTCACAAATTGACCCCATACACATCTGGGAATTTAGTATATGATATAGGTGGCATTTTAGATCTGTGGGGAATTGATGGGTTAGTCAACAAGTAACATTGGGACATCCGGGGAAGCATATGAAAGATAAAATAATTTGGATTCCAATCTCACTCTGTAAACTAGGATATTTCCTTGGGCCCAAGCTCTGAGTAGGCTGAGTCATGAAGAGGTGGGAACAGATCTGTCTGCTGGGCAGACCCATCAGCCTGCCTTGTGACCAGGGAGGTGCTTTAAATATGCAAATACCTTAGGGAGAGTTCCTACCTCAACCCTTATTAGCTGACATCTTAAGTACATAATAAAGATGACCAGGAATGGGCAAGAGGCTATTTGGCCAAGATGAGCCAGGAGTGTAAAAGGAAAGACAATGATGGGGGAGGAGATGGGGAAGGGTTAGATAACGAAGGCCAGCATTCCCATAACTGACTGTTCCTCAGAGCTGACTGTGAGTTGTCTGACATCCCACTTTGGCATTGTTCTGGAACTTTCTTTAAATAGCCAAAACCTAACAGGTGGACCTAACCAGCACCTCTAATTCTTCCTTTAATGAAAGAGTTAAGTTAAATTTAAAAGAACAGATGCTATCAAGAATTATCCAAAACAAAACACAATTATCTACATATATCGCCAAGATAGTGATATTTATTTTTCACCTATTCAGTAGCTCTCTTTCCTTAGACTGTGTTTAACACATTCACACAGCTTCCCTGTTCTGAAAAAAAATCTTTCTTGAATCTGCTGTGCCAAGACAAATGTCTCCTGAGCTAGCAGCTGCCTGTGTTTTGTATTCTCAGACCATGTGCCTGCATGTCGTGATGCTACTCCCCAAGGGCATCATTGCCCAGCACACCCAAAACCAATGACCTGCATTTCACCACTACTCTTGAAGCTACAGAACGTGATGATGTTGAGCTCCTGTGGCCTCCTGGAACTCCTATCTTCCTCTTCTAATGTCTCCGTGACATTTCTAAGTCATCCTTCTTTTGGATCATTCTCTAAGATCCTCTCCTAGACCCTCGCTCTTCTCTTGGAGATTTATAATGGCTCCACCAGTCTCCCAGGGTGCTGATTCACATGAGTCCATGGGGTGTTGTGACATCAAAGGAGATTCTTCCTAGTTCCTTTCAAGACATGTATGAGAATTCTTCCTCTGCTGAATTCAACTTGTTTTTCTTCCTTCTGAAAAATATGAATTCTAAAGTTCCACATTTGATCTTGTGCCTAATAAAGATGACATACTGAGAAGCACACTATTGATGTCTGGGGTCAGACAAAGCTGGGCTCAAATCCTGCTCTGTGACTGAACAAGACACAAAGACACTCTAATTAAACATGTCTGGAATGGGAGAAGAATATTGAACTAGACTGAAATTTATTTCAAGTGAAGAGGTCAAAACACTTTGTCACATGACTGAAGTTGATCTCCATTTTAAAGCTTGGTTTTAAA